AAAAAAAAAATCCATTTTATATTTTTTTACATTAGCAATGTAATCAATATTCTGTTTATTAAAGCCAAGTATGGATCTAATCAAGTTAGTGTTTTAAAGCATTTTACATTAATTCCAAAATAATAACTGAAGGCAGTAACAATTTAAACAATATTTAAGTGATTGTATATCTAAGTGTGTGAGTTGTTTACTTACTTTTTTTTAAATTAGTCTTCCCATTAACGCCATTTTATTGTTCATTCAGACTGATTCGTTAACGCAGCACGCGCATGAACACAAGAGGCGAGATTTATCGCATGAACCAATCACAGCCGAACATAACCAGTCAGATCCAATCATATGTGACCCTGAACCACAATACCAGTCATAAGGGTCAATTTCTCAAAATTGAGATGTATACATAATCTGAAAGCTGAATAAATAATATTTCCATTGATGTGTGGTTTGTTAGGATAGGACAATATTTGGCCGAGATACAACTATTTGAAAATCTGGAATCTGAGGGTGCAAAAAAATCTAAATATTGAGAAAATCGCCTTTAAAGTTGTCCAAATGAAGTTCTTAGCAATGCATACATGATCTTTACTTAATATCCTAATGATTTTTGGCATAAAAGAAAAATCGATCATTTTGACCCATACAAAGTTTATTTGGCTATTGCTACAATTATACCCTAGCGACTTGAGACTGGTTTCGTGGTCCAGGGTCACATATTGCGATGGAGGCATTGCCTCCTCTCACGTGATTTTCTCCCATCCATTCTCAATTACCTCCCAGTAAACTCACCGCATGCTTTAGGGGGTCTGTTAAAACTCAATGGGCTCAGGGGAGGCGAGAGCCAAAGAGAAAGGAAAACTTGAAATCGCATCATATGACCCCTTTAATGTTATATTTTTTAATATTGGCAGTTTTATTTTTGTACTACAATTTTATTTTTTCATCCAATATTTTGAGACACTGCCTCCCTTGCCTACTCGGAGGAAAAGCCCCTGACATGGGCGTCGGAAGCAACAAAAATGTGGGTAGGTCCAAAAGTGTAAGTGTATCTGTTCTTCAATACTGCAACAAAGACTATGATGCCTTTAAAAGCAACAGGCGAACAAATGATGGACATTCAGTTAAATAGCAGCTTGTTTAGTGACAGTATGTGAGGACACAGCCAGACCCACCTGAGCAGCAGAGATGCTACGATGCTTTGTTTATCTTGCTGTGTTGCGGCGGGAGTGCAGCAAGCGCGAGAACTGAAAACACAGCATGGAGTTTGATTTATATGGACTCTGAATGAGCCAAGCGGAATGGATTTGAAGAAGCAGCAGCGTGGAAGTCAATGTTGTAGCTAAAATGCGGAATGGAGTTTAATTTATTAGGGCATTCCTCAAGTGGAAAGGATTTGAGTGGCGGCGCTCTGAAAAGTGAACAAACAAATTGAGTGGGTCCAATATCATTGGTCTTAAAAAGTGGGTGGGTCTTGTGGGTGTAATGGTACACAAACATGATGGTTCGGTGCATACCTCGGTTTTGACATGCGCGGTTCGATATGGTACAGCAGCGGGGAAAAAATATATTTTTTATTAAACAGTGGTTTACAGAACAAATAGCTCTTTCTTTAAATGAATTAAATTATAACTACATTTTTCTTAGGAATAAAAATCTACCACAGCTTATGCTCTGAACTATAGGGAGTCATTTTACATTAGGCCTACTATAGGTTTCAATTAACAACAGAGCCCAAACTTAAATTTAATTACAATTTATTTTTAAATATAATAATCAACACTCAACTTAAAAAAAAAAAAATATGCAAACATGTAAATTGCACATAATGCAGTTTTTAAATTAACTTCTAAATAATAAATTAATTTGCACAGTGGCTGTCATAACTTGTTTCATAACAGATTTATTTAAAGGGGTCATATGATGCTGCTAAAAAGAACATTAGTTTGTTAAATAATTAAGACGCCACTAACAGGTTAAAATGAGTATAAGGAGTATAATATTTCGGGAAATGGTATTCTCTGCACTTCATTTCTCTAGCGAACTAACGAGCTGTCACTGATGTCTGCGGTAAACGCATTTTGTTTTCAAGCTGTTTTATTGACGTGTTTCTGCGGTTGAAACACACACAAACAATAAATAATCCTATCTGTCATATACAATTAATGACATTTAAAAAAAGTTTTATAAAAGTGCTAGATTATTTTGATAAATATTGGACCAATAACTACATAATGATATAGTTCTTAAGTAAATTAATAAGAATAAAAAAAAAATCATCCAATCCAGGTAACAAAACTGTCAAAAAAAAAAGAGGAAAAAAAAAGGCCGATAACTGGTTCAGAATGACTGCTTAAGGCACATCAACATATCCTGAAGTGCTCTTTATAATTAAATATAACAATCAAATGTAAAATAATAATATAAGCTGTGTTCTGTTGCAAGTTCACATACTTCATCTCATGTTTTCGTTGTCGTGTTTTAAATAATCAGTTTATTTGTGTCCTTGACACATGGGCATGCCTCTGGTGTCTAATGTAGGCAGGGTGTTAGTTATACTGAAACAAAAAAATATAAACAGCTTACCAAATTTAGTGTGGTTTGACCATTTTTTTTTCTTTCTCAAACTCAATTGCACCAAGTCTGCCATTAACCATAACCTGCTAAGACACCAGTCAAATTGCCTCATCTAGTGCCCCCCATAGGATATGGCCTTAAATCACACCAGTTTCTGCTGTCCAATCTTTTTGTTAGTGGGTCTAGAGTAAAAAATAAAAAAGGGATAATAAATGTTAAAGTCTACATCTACACACACACACACACACACACACAATGTGTTTGTGTGTATGTATATATATATATATATATATATATATATATAT